ATGTGCGGGTCGCCTTGCTGTCGTGTCTTGACCGTGTCGAGGGAGTGCATGAGCATGTCGCCGCTTGTCCCGCCTATGCCACCCGCAAGCATTGACTGGAAGAAAGAAGAGCGAAAGAAAAAAAGAAAAAAAAGTTAGCACCGGGGGGTGGGGAAGAAAAGAAAGGAAAAGAAAAGAAAAGAAAAGAAAAGAAAAAAAAATTGAAGTTGCAGCTTTTAGTCCATCCTTTTCAGCCTCTTTCCACCTCACTGTCTCATAGATCGCATATACATACGTATGAATACGGCGGCCGCGCAGCCTCTACATCCACACCAGCATTAACACCCGCATTGGGATGCGCAACCTCATCCCTCCCCATCACCCTTGCTCGCTTACGGCTCTTCTCCACCGCAGACTCCGTCTCCGTCTGAATTACCATCGCAGCATGTTCCCGGCTGTTGTCGTCGTCGCTGTGAATGGTGGTGGTGGTGGTGGAAGCAGCGGAGTTCGAAGGAGAAGAAGGAGAAGAAGCAGGTGCTGGCGAAGATGATGCGCCCGCGGAGAAAAATCCAGAAGACATCCACGAATCCGTATTCTGGCTCATCGCCGCGCACCCCTCGCCGTCTGCTTTTATTGTTATGAAAGGACAATCGCGATCCTTCGGTCGAGTGAATTTTGTATATTTTGGGTTTTGCGTCGCTTGGAGACTTTTTCTTCGCTTTTCCGATTCCTCTTGTATATTACCGGGCGAACTCAGGGTAACGTCTTTGTGTGTATGTGTATGTGTAATGGGTATATCTACAAACCCCTCTATCCTCTTCTCTCCATTGATTCTCCAGATTGGAGGTATCTCGTGAGCGGAGGGTGAGTATATCTCAAACGAAAGCAGGGGAAAAGCAGAGCAAGCAAAATAGCCTAGCAACTTCGAAACGAGAGAGGGACAGACATGGCCATGCTTGATTTGCTTTTCTGCGCTTTCAAACCATCGTATATTTCAATGTGTACCGAGGGGAGTAGGTGGGCTGACGTTGTCGGACACCTTGAGTAAATGAGGGTCGTGTAAGGCACGCTGGCGGTCTGGAGATTGACAAGTAGTTATCTGTATCCATTTTTTTTTTTTTTTTACCTGCTTTGGCGTTCGGGCGGGCTGAAACCCTAAAATTTGGATTGGTCGGCGGAATGTTGATCCGGGGCGGATGAGATATAACTGGGGAATTGAACCTAAGTCGGTTCAACCGACATTGAATATTTACTCAACTGTTGAAATAAGGGAGTTTTCCCCACTGTCATGCATTGCTCACGTTGGATAGGGCTACTTGGATACACCGCAGACTGTGGGCGGGTAAGGGGAGAAATAATAGAGCTCCATACAGCAGACCGCATATCAACTGGTCGTCTGGCCGGTCGTTGCGGGGTCTGTCGCAGAGCACATAACGCCCTCTGCCCAGTTATTGATCCACACATACATCAAAGACAGAGATGATTTAGCGGGAAAATGGAAAAATAAAAATTGGAAAAGTAAAAAAGTGCGGGACGAAAAATCATAAGGGGATAGGTCATAATTTTTTGGCATCGAAGTAAGAGAGTAGAGAGAAACTCGCTATTCATGGAGAAGAAGAGGGAGCAACCCGCTGATCAAAATGAGGAGAGCTACAAATGGGAATCAAGCATTACATGTAGGAGATAGGAGGACGTCAAAAGTTACCACCGAAAAATAAAGAGGAAAGAGAAACAAACATATAATAGTATAGATAAACAAAGCTCCTTTCATCTTCATCTTCAACTTCGTCAGAAAAAAATCAACAATCAGAGCAAAACCAAGGGTAAGGATGGTCAGGTCAACAAAACATTCAAAACACAAGTTAACAACTTATAGCAGCAGAAAAGACGTAGATGAGAATGCCTAAAAGTACAGACCCATTATGTTCTTTTGTGGGGGAAAAAAACAAGATTCACCTACCACCGCACCAAATTGAAGCGGAAATGGTAGCCTCCTTTCCTCCTTCAACCCCTTACTCCCATCCTCAACTAACCTAGGTATATTTATGTTCACCGCGGTCACTTGAAAAAGTTGCCTCTCCTTCCTCCCAATCCGAAAAGAATAATGCATTTGTAGGCGGGGATGAATGCACAATCGGCCTCCATCCTGAAGAATGATATCTAAGATTCCCCCCCCTTTCCCCCGGACCGGGCGAGATACCAACACAAGACGGTTCTCGATAGAGCTTTTCCACACCCAACCTTTCTCTCCATGGTTGTCGTCATCGTAGCATTGTCAAGTTCTTGTTTCCAGATCAGTCGGCCTCCATTCCCAGTCCCTCCCGACCCAAAAAAAAAAAAAAAAAAAAACCCAACAAACAATTAAAATCCCTCTCCCCGCAACCCTATTGTGGCTTCTTCCCACCCGCAGCAGCCCCCTGATAACCATAGCCACCCATATACCTCCTTAGATCCGTAGCCTCATACGCCCTCCTGACCACCACCTGGAAAATCTCCCACCCCTGCCTAACCTGCGGGGGTGTATTCTGATGACTAACCGCCGCATCAACCCGCGCAGTCGCGTGGGCGACAGTCCCCTGTACAAACGAGCTCTGCGCATACCGCGACCTGTAGAACACGAAGTAGATGGCCAAGAGCACCCAGCTGCCGCTGGAGAACGTCAGTGCACTGCCAACCAGGCGGAAGAGAAGGGCCATTTCAAAAGCGGCGACAAGGCCCATGCTGGCGTCGTAGTAGCGTTTGACGAAGCGGCCGATGCTTTCGGCTAGAGGTGATTGTTTTGGTGCGCTAGTGTGGCGGCCAGAGGGGGAGGCGGAGGGGGATGCGGCTGATGAGGTGGCGGGTTTGGAAGGTTGGAGGGTTGGGATTAGATAGGTGCGGGTGTAGGTTGCGACGTGGAAGACAGAGTAAATTGCGAAGGGGAGGAGGGCGATGGGGATTTGGCGGGAGTACAGCCAGACGAGGGCCATGACTGATTTGGGTCATTGTTAGCTTGTTTTGTGTGTTTTATATAGAGATATATATTGGGGGGAAAGCAGCACTTACTCAAGTACTGGACATTCTCGTCACTGGCCAACCTTATGGCGGTGGCGGGTATGGATCCTCCCAGACGTCCGCGAGCGATATAGGCTTTGTAAACGACGATGCCGTATGTAACTGCAGCAGCTACGAATGCCAGACGGTATGAGGTTCTGGCCATGCCAGAAAAGTAGTTGAAGGTGACATAGGAGATGAAGTATCGGAAGACAGCAAGGATTAAGGTCAAGTGTCTAATATCCAAATATGTCAGTTAGCAACAAGAGCGAGCAGTTGTGCGCATACATGTTTGTCATTCTTGTGTCGCAAAATTGATATATCATCACACTCAAGACCAAAATGTGTGGTGATGGGTGACGATTCACTCCACCTTGTGCTTATCTCTCCGCATAGTATTATTCTCTTTACACAGCATATCAAAGACGACTAGGGGGAATTATCAGAGGAGAATTTAATGCTCTCTCCGTCATCGTATTGGAATCAGAACTTACCCGAGAAACCAACCGAACCTGCGAATACAAGAATTAGCATGCCACATTCCTCGATCATATATATATCATGCATTACAAGAACACGTACTGCAAAGTCTGGGCGAGCATCTTTAGACGCTCGCCCAAGGGCAGAGTGGCAGGAGGCGGAGGGGCCATTTGCTGCTTTTCAACAGGCGGTCAACGGATTTCTCAGTGTTGAGGGCCAGCTGTCTGTGGGGAATGTTGTTGTAGTTGTGTTGTGTGTATGCTGTTGTGATGCTTGGATGTTGAAGCGTAACGGGAGAGAAGGAAAGCAGAGACCACCGACCCCTAGATCGCCCGGGATATACGGAGAAATGGCCTAGGGAGATCGTGGGAGGGGGAGCAGGCTGCAGGATTATCTTTCACTTCTTCCTCTGCGTTGCTTGTGTGTGCGGTGTGTGCGAGATCAAGCGTTGGACTCAGGCCGGCTTGTTGGTAGGTTTGTGCCTTGCCTTGTTTTTGGCTTGGGCTGGCAGGTTGGCTCCAGTCAATCGGGTGTTGTATCGTCAGTACGGGACTTTGCGAGGGCGGTAAAAACGGCAGCGTAATGTGCGGACGGTATCAATCGTGTCAAGAACCCCCCTCGTGTTGGGCCAGGGTTTGCTGAGGGAGAGAAGGCAGGTCAGGGATTACATGACGGTACATCCCATGGATACGTAATGATACTACTGGTCGTAGCTACGCCGTATTGCTTGTTACAAACGTTCAGCCGGCCACAGAATGCGGTCATGTGACATGGGTAAACTTCTTCATCTCAACTTCAATTCTTTAATGACATCAACAACCCGAGACAGCAAAACTCAATGCCAACAGACCCCGGATGTCAGGACGATTTCGACACAAGTAAACGTATTGTCCTCTGCACACCGGCACTTCCCACGTCCCGGATGTTAAAGGCCCGTTTCATTTGAAAAGCCTTCATGATATTCTTCCAGCTTCTCGACGGAGTTGATCCAAAGTTTGTCAGTCTCCTGAGAAAGCTATACCGCTAGCATTGGAGCCACGGAACCCATTGCATTTAATTGTTGCTGGTTATTCTCAAATGCAGCATACACTTTTCCTTTGAAGCAAACTGTCATCTACCATTTTGGTAATCATTGATCATTCGATGGTGCTTCTTGCTGGTCTATACAATCCCTGTATAGCGAGCACGCACTCTCTTAACCCCTGAATTGCGCTTATTCTCTGTCCATGTTTAATGCTCCTTAATGACAAGTATATATTGTTTCTTGAGCACAAATTTTATACCTTTTCGATGTATAAAATAAAATGTTTATTCCATTAGGGTAAACTCGTCATATATTCACTCCTTTTATTCCCAACTCCCAGATCAAATCTCACCCAGTCCAGTAGTGAATGGAAACACAAGAATCCCAAAATCCCAAAATCAAAAACAAAACAAAGCAAAGCAAAGGAAAAGGAACAAGAATCAGAAAAACAGTTAAAGAAAATGAAGAAAAAGCACAGCCATCTTCACTGCTCTGTCTTCGTCTTTCTCCGTCCAGTTCTCACCCACCCCTTCCACACTGTAATTAACCTTGGGGTTCTCAGTCCCCATCTCTTCTTCTCCAACCCCCCCGGGACCTTTGTGGGATCCTCTGAGCTCAGCGCGAACTTTGGGAACAACGCCCCCAATGCCCCGATGTGGTCCTCAAATGTCACTGGCGGTATCTGGGGAGACAGCGAAGACTCCTCGGTTTCGCTCTCCCTCCGCTCCCCTGGTTCCAGGATGCATTTCTGGGGCTCTTCACCTTCCCCACGCCCTCCCGTCCGCAGTTCCAACTCGGCCTCGAGCCCCGCCCTCAACCTCTGCGACTGACACCCCCCGCAAAGCCCCCGAACATGCCGCCCCTGAACCTTTATCTTAGCCACCTCCTCCACCGAACACCGAAACTCCGTCCCCCAAAAATCCACAATCTCCCAGTCCCCCTCCTCCACAGGGAACCCGGAAACGTCAACACCACGACCATCCCCACTAACTCCCCCAACCACATGGAAGCACTTCTGCACGCTGTCCCCCCTGATCCAGAACTTGCAGTGCCCGCACTCGAACCTGTGAATCGTATCAGGAATATCCCAGTCTCTATACACGCTCATCTCCTTCACCCCCTCTTCCTCTTCTTCCTCTTCCTCTCCCTCCTCCTCTCCCTCCTCCTCCCCCTTCCCTTTCACGCTCCCAATCCCAATCCGCCTCCCAATCGTCGCCATCAACCTCCTCAACCGCTCCTTGCTTATCCAGCTACTCTGCTCCCGCTCCTGCTCCCGCTCCTGCTCCCGATCATTCCCCCGCCCCTCCTCCGTCTCCACGCAATTCAAACACTTCCCCTCCACCCGCATAACCTTCTGCTTCCACTCGTCCATATCGCAACATCGCGACGGGCAGAAGCCAGATTCTTTGAGTTTGGACGGATCTGGTAACGGGGTGCCGTTGGGGCTCTGGCAGTAGCGCAGGCTGTACTTGAGGTGGCAGGGGACTGTGTGATGGCAGGCCTTGTAGTATTCGTGGGAGGTGTATTCACACATTGTTGCTTTGTTTGTTTTGCTTGTGGCATGGGGTGTTGGGTGGAGTTAACCGCAGTGGGAATATGTGGGTGGGTTTGAAGCAGGCTGGGCCGCACTGTGTTGCTTTGTCTGACATGTGATGTGAGGTGGATTTGAGATGATTTTTTTTTTTTTTGTTGATATTTTTCTCTCAAAAATAGAATTATAGAAGATTCTTCTGAAGAAGATTACATTTTACATTTTACTTTGATCACAGTTTTGTTTTGTTTCAGTATTTAGAGAGATGACACAAACATAAACAACATCAAAAAGTTGTTGAGAGATGGAATTTTTTTTTTCATTATATCTTCCTCTTCCTGCTTCATATTCACTGATGATGACGTATTTATCCAACCAACACAGGAATTAACTCTGAACCATTTGAATTAAAATAGCCAGTGACTATAATGTCCCCCTTATTCTTTGTCAGATATATTTCTTTCAAGAAAACCTTTTTTTTTTCTTCTTTCACATGAAAAAATACATCCCTTGGGACAATGCAGCTCAAAAAAAAAGGGGGGGACACACAACAGACAGACGTAGACCCCTTGCAAATCATGGAAGGATTCCCTCAAACAAACCCAATCAATCCACTTCGGAAAAAAAACAAGAACACCAGAAGACGAAAGATCTTAACCCCACTTCCCTTTCCTCTCAACCGGAGAACCCAACGTTCGTAATAATGCAGGCCGCTGTTGTGCGGCCATCGTAAAATAATAACTCCACCATGTCACGAAAGATCTAATAAAACAATGCCAATATGCTGCTTCCTCCCTGCCCTAGGCACTTATCAACAATGACTGAACATACCTACCATGACGCGTAGACGCCTACAATCAACATTTTCTGCACACCACTCCTAGTCTATGCAGTCGCTTACAGAATTCCATCTCATCACAATGAAATGTTTACATAACCGACAGTAGACCGAGAGTTATCTAAAACGAAAACAGGTCTTATTCGAAACTTATATTGATAGCGGAAGGTAACAGCAGGACGGGATTTAAAAACCTGCAAGTCAGGCAATAGGGAGAACACAGAGTGGGTGCAATAAGAAAAATTACACCTACGCATTATCTAGGTAGATACCGTAGGCTCCGCCAGACAAATTGGGATATTTAAAGGGCCAAACACGACAAGAAAGCAAAACGGACAAACGACAACTGACAACTTAGTATTAGAAAGACGAAGGGAAAATGAACAGGCAGCAACCGATAACGAGAGCATCTGCGTTTGAGAAGGGAAAAAAATAAAACAATGGGCAGAAATGGATGGGCACTTGAGACAACAGGCACTCTCGAAGGGATTAACTAGAGGTGAAATTAGCATCGAAGTAGAAAGCACGAAAAAGGATAACTAAAACTAATATAAACTAATCTCAATAAAAAGCTGAGATTAAAAATGACGAAAAAAAAAGGCAAGATTTATAGCTAGGATAGACAATACATGACAAGAAAGGCAGTTTTTCTTTTTATTCTTCTTTTTCCTTCCTTTTCAAACAGTAGAAAATGGGGGAAAAAAAAAAAAAAAAAATGTGAGAGAACGAGGAGAAAAGGCAACGGGCGGGCAGTTGATTCCGGAAACTGGCAACGCAGGGTAATATATAATATAATAAATACACTGCACCGAACCCAGGGCACGCCCGCACCAGCAGAGGGGACAAGGGATAAGTTGCTCTTCAAAAGAGGTAGCAAAACCACAAAATAGCTTTTTTAACAGTGCACGTTTTGAGGATGAACAATAATACCAACCTCCACATGAACATATCCTTTTCCTTTTTTTCGTGTGTGCGCGCAACCCCTCAAAATGGGGCAGGGGAAAAGTAGGAAGAAAAGGAAACGAACTCGCTCGACAAAAGAAAAGAAGTTGATCGATCGACAGGATATTAAGTGCGAGATGATATATAAGAAAAACGGTAGTCTCTTCTGGCTCCATCGGTTTCTATGACACAAGTGTTTTTAGTTAAAACAGCGACCCTAAGAAAATATGGAAGAGGGCAAAAATAAGGTTTCAAATGTCATTACAGAAACAAAATAAACGGTAAGGAGGTATAGATGAGAGAAGCAGAAAGGTGGAGAAAGAGAGGGAGAAGGTGGTACTAAATAAATAGGGAAGAAGAAAATGAGCGTACGAGTATCTGGGTGTAAGAGAGCCGAGCTTTATGAACGAAAAGAAGGAAAAAAAAAAAAAAAAAAAAAAAAAAAAAAGGGAAGAAAAAGAAGAAAAAGGCAGAGCTGAAAGAAAAGGTATTAGATGGGCAGCGCTGGAACCATGAGAGCGGGATGGGGACTCAAAAAGGGAGAAAAAGGTGGAATCAAATCAGAGGCAGAACAGAAAGCATTTGTCGTGTATCACAAGCAAACGTTCCATGTGGATCCAGAATATGCAGGCCCGGTCATGAGAGCGAACGAATCGACTTTACTGTACTAACGAAGAGAGAATCCCTTCCTCTTTATCTTATCCTCCAGGGGCCGCCCACTCTCAAGACGCGACTTCTTCTCCTCCAATTCCGCCCGCTGCCGCTCAAGCTGATCCTTCATCTCACGATGCCTTGCATAAAGCTCATCCTCGCTCTGTTTCAGCTTGCTTTCCTTCTCCTGCACCTTTTGTTGGAACACCATCTTCATCTCCACCTCCATCTTAGCAAGCTTCTGCTCGTGCAGAGTGCGTTCTTCCTCCTGCTTGACAGCAGGGTTGACTTCCTTGAACACGCTGGGGTCTTGCGCGACGCCCATCTGTGTAAGCTTGTCGGACCGGTAATTCTCGTACAAAGCGTTGTTTGTGTGCTCCTTGAGTTCTTCCATGTGGGTGCGGATAAGCATCTGGCGGAGCTTGACGAAGTCGCAGTGTTCCTCGTTGTCAACTTCGATGACGCCCCAGGGATAACGGCGACCTCTGACCTTGCCGCCTTCGCTGCTGGTAACTTCAGAGTTTGCTCCGACAACCGCAAAGGGAACCTTAGACATGATCTCCTGGTTTTCAGCAATGGTTTCTTCGTCATCAAGCTCGTAACGAGGCCCTTCGAATATTTGAATGGAATGATGTTGGATATCGGCGAGGATCTGGGTTACATGTCAGAATTGATCATCGGAAAGGAGGGGATTTGGAGCGTGTTGTAATCACATACCCTCTGCTTGAAAAGGGCAATTTCCTCGTCGGTCAATGTGTCAGCCTTGGCAATGACGGGAATGAGGTTGACCTTGGTATGCAATCGACGCATGACTTCAATGTCGAGAGGTTTCAGAGAGTGGCCGGTTGGCTGGATGAAGTAGACGCATGCATGGACGCGGTTATCCACGATATTCATGCGGTTAACCTTGTTCTCAGCTTCGAGGTAGGCATCAAATCGCTGTTCGATGTTCTCGACAATTGGGCGCCAGGAGTCATCGTTGTTAACAAAATCACCAAAACCTGGTGTGTCGACAACGGTAAGACGAAGGCGAACTCCATTCTCCTCAATGTCGGCGCTGATGGACTCGATGGCAACGGTTTTGGGAATAATGTCAAGGCTAGGGCCCTTGCGCTCCTTGGGGGGGTACAGGGATGTGTTGAACAGAGTGTTGACCAGAGTAGACTTTCCCAAGCCAGATTCACCTATATAAGAAGTGGGACGTTGAGCATGTGTGGGAAAAGCGGAGCCAAACAGTGGTTTAAGGAAACAAATATCTACATACCAACGACCATAACATTGAAGTTGAATCCTTTACGGACACTCTTGCGGTGCCATTGGTTTGGGAGATTGGCAAATCCAACGTAACCAGTCAATTTCCGACGGACGACGTTCCTCATGTCGCTGGCAGCTTGGGCAGCGGCCTTGGGATTCTTGGAAGTGACGGTTTGGGCAGCTCCCTGTCCCATTGGGTTGCTGCGTTCAACATACGGCGATTTTCCGGGTGTACTAGCTGCAGCCGGAGAGGGTCGCGTTGGAGCGGGGATACCGTTTGCGGCGGAGGCTGGTTTCATCATGTCAGTATTGTTTTCAAACTCGATGTTCTCTACGCTGTATATCCGAACAGGAGTGCAAAGTGCGATTGAGGGCCCTTGGAGCTTGGATATCTTCAAGTTCCGGGGGGTGGTATGGCCGCATATCTGGCACTCCTGTATTGGGGCGGCCACTCGAAACTTCCAATGGCCCATAGCAACAAGTTGATCCTCGTCACCGCCGCCCGCCCGGGGAGGGGTAAAGATAACAAAGCCACACGACAAAAGGAACACCGAACGCAACAGAGTCAATCACTGATTCAACAGACACGGGTATTATACAGACGCTGGAGGGAAGAACGAAACGACAAGACACGACACGACAACAAACAAAATGAGGCTTACCCATCTCGAGGGAGGTTTTCAATGGCAGAGAGAAACAGGCAGGAACAGATTGTAGTCGAAGGAGCGTAAACGAATCTGTGCAGGGTCACAACTTCCCGTTAGTACAAACACTCAGGACACGTAATAAGGGGGAAGGAGCCAAATCATCGGGATTAGTCAGGGGGGATGCCCGATGCAGCATGTATATTCTCTTCTTCAGTCTTCAACAGTCTATACATTTCTTGCTGAGCAATTCCAGCTCCCATTCAAGGGAGAAGAGAAGGAAAGGAGAGAAACTGAGAGACAGCAAGGGAGAGAGAAGAGAAGAGGACAGCTGCTTAAGGTTTCACCACCTTGCCGAGATTTTCTCAACACGGACCACGGTCTACAGAAGAATTGAGAAGAAATGAGCGGAGGGGTGGGATGGTAGTGGAGAGAGAGAACAGCACGAGATCAGGGCACTGTTCTGGACAAGACGAACGAAGAGGTTATAAATCCTGCTAGGTGTAATTAAAAGAAGGCGAAGTGGAACGACGGGAGATGGGAGACGTGGTGGACTCGAACGGGGATGGGGGTGGTGAAGTATGACGCGCCCCTTTCAGAAAAGGAGCAGGAGTCGAAGTCGCAAGTCGAAACCCTGAAGAAGTAGAAGAAGAAGGAGAAGAAGAAGAAGAAGAAGAAGAAGAAGAAGAAGAAGAAGAACAAGAAGAACAAGAACAAGGAGAAGGAGAAGAAGAAGAAGAAGAAGAAGAAGAAGAGAGAGAGCGAGAGATTGAGAGAAGGGAAAAAGAAAAATATGTCTCCAGACGGGGGGTGGAGTGCGCGGGTAGAG